GAAAAAGACTGAAAAAATAGGAAAACTACAAGAAGAAGTTAAAATTAGAGAGACTCGCCTAAAAAAAGAACCGAACTCTAAAAGAATCCTTGCAGAAATAACTAGTCTACAAAAACAGATATCAGTTATTACCATGGAAGAAATAGAAAGGAAATTGAGATATACCAGACAAAGATACTTTGAATTCTCAAACAAACCAGGCAAGCTGCTTGCTTATAAATGAAAGAAAAAGAAAAGAAATCAATTGTAAAAATCAGATCTGGTAAAACTATATTAACAGATCAAAGAAAGATAAAACAGTTTTTTTTTAAGTATTACATGGATTTATTTACAGAAAAAGACATTTCTCTGGAAAAAATAAACCAATATGAATTGTCCAGCTGATTCTAAAATATATTTATTAAATCTGATTTCAGATGATAACACTGAACAGAAATATGGTAAATTAATTTACCCTAGTTGCAGCTAGGGTTAATTACACAGCAAAATGGAAAAGTAAATAAACTCCAGAATTAAAAGATTGGATTTGGAGATTATATGATTATATGGAATCCGACAGACTGACTCAATCATTAAAAAATGTTCTGTTTGAAAAATATAAACAGGAATTGATTCCACTGATAAATTATTTAAAACAAGAATAGGGTCCAATTTTACTTTAGGTTTGGTTTGAAAACATTTATTTTACGGTATCACTTTATAAATATGGTGTTGAATTGATTCAATATAGATTTATTAATCATCTAATTAATTGCGCTTATTTATCTTTTTTAGAAGTAGAAATTTAAAAGCTGGAAAGGACAAATACTGCTTTGAAATTAGGAAGGAAAGGGGGAACAATGGGGGGGTTATGTTACATTACGTTATATATAATTGAATATAATACATGCAATTGACTCATTGTAATCTATAGATTACTGTTTGGTTTTACTTTTTTCATCTCCATCTAATTTTGTCTTTTTGTCTGTTGTGTCTTTAATGTATAATTCATTTTTGTTAATAAAATTTATATTTTAAAAAAATAAAAAAGAAGGGTTGTGGTTCATATTAAAAATATAAGATTATTTAGAAGATAAATACCTGTATGTATTTATCACACTCATGAGAGTGAGAGGAAAGAATTGTCACTAACACAAAGATGATAGGAAGTTACTTGTAAAGTGAAATCTTTCTATCCTGACCATATGCACATTTCTGCTTTGGAGTCAATCCAAATTAATTTTGGAAGATGAAAAGTACTTAACTGAGAGTGTATACCATTCCACCCACTACATGTTCCTGAGTCTGCTAAGTTTATTGATTATCAGTTTATTGATAATCACAGGGAAAGCCATGAACTGTCCTCAGGTCACTGATTTATTTTTTTATAACCAGCTAAGATTATCCACTTTAATTTCCAGGTGTTATCTGTTAACAGTGCTGTACAAAGTCAAGGATCAATGATCCTATCAAGGTGACTTGGGGATATTTTAATTGGTAAATAATCTTGTCTTGTGTGTAGCTATGAATCAACAACTACTCTCTGAGTGTTTTTTTCTTCTTCAAAGTTTCAAACGGGTTATGTAACCAAGGATGGCCCAGTCAAAGATGTCATAAAAGCTGCTTTGTTTCTCTGAAACTCTCTAATCAGTAGGGTAATAATCTATACCCATAACTTTCTATTTTCTGCAAGGGAAGTAATCTTGCTTTCAACTATATGGAGAAGTGCCTGGTTTTCTCCTGCATGAAGACACTGAAGCATTAGATGGAGGGGAAATCCATGAAGGAAAGGACAAACAGAGCTTGATCTGAGCTAGGCTTCAGCTCTGCAATCGGTGTAGTAAAGCTCATATCTCCATTTATTGGCATCAGCTGAGATTTTGCTCAGACTGTGCTTGAAGATGAGTGTCTCTGAGCATGTGGAAAGTTTTTTCTCACTACAGTCCTAGCATGAATGAACTTCCATTAGTTCTCAGGGTTTTGTTTTTTCTTGCTTTGTTTTGCAGATTAGCAACAGATAAGCATTAGAGATATCAAAGACCTAGAGAGCAACTACTGAGGTAGATCAAAGAAGAAAGTGCAATGTTGAATACAAAGAAAACAAAAATGATGACCATGGAGGATCTTCACAAGTTCAACCTAGACAATGAGGACATAGAAATAGTAAAAGAGTTGTTGTGTGCTTTAAATTGTTTCTGACTTATGGCAACTCATTTCACTCCTCTTTCTGTACTGATCCTCACTCCAGTCCTTCACTTCTGGCAGGTCAACTCTGGCAGGCAAAGTAATAATTTACTTTGGCTTTCAAGGAAATTGTTATGGCAAATGAACACTGTTGGGTACAAAGTGCAGTGAGGACATAGGTCTAGGGGAGTGTTACTGCATTTTATCACAGGGAGCCCAGCGGGCATTGAAATGTTTCTTAAAAGAGTTTACTTTTTCCCAAAATGAATTTTATCTTTGTTTTTTACTCTACTTTGGGGCATGATACCCTCTGAAGAAATTATAGAGTTCCCATAAGTCAGAAACAACTTAAAGCACACAACAACAATAATAGCAACCAAGGGCATATTATGCTGTTTGGAAGCTCCAGGCCATAAAAACAAGTCTGATCTTGCAGATCCATCCAGATCTATGTACTCATAATAGGGCCACCTTTCTGCCCCTTCCTTCCAGTATGGCCAACTAACAATTGGCTGTGCCACCAGTTTGGTGCTGGTGTGCTCCACTAGAGGATCAGGATGTTTTAGGATGTTTCATGTGGACAATTTTATTTGAATCCAAATGTCCTGTTTCATTTCTCAGAAAAAGAGTGAAAAAAGCAGTCAACCCCCCCAAAAAGATATACCTTCCTTTTCACCGCCTTACGTTGTGATTCCCACACGTGGACACATCCAGTCCCAAATGGACCCTTGTTATAACAGAGGAGAGATTTGTAGTGGAGGTGTACTGGCAAAGAAAAGTCTGTGTTAAGTTTAGAGGGAATCCACAACTGTCCTTTTCCAAATCCCCACTAGTACAGGTATAATAGTCATCCACTCTTTCGACCAATTTAAATTATAATGGGAACCCATTAATTCAATGTATGGTTGAAAGAGCAGGCAACATGTTGAATATACAGGTTCTGGGTATAATTTTATTTATT